ATTCAATCTCAAACTTGGTCACGCCAATGAGGCAAAAAGACAAATCAGCGAATCTGCCCGCAATACAAAACGTATACAAAATAAAACATATATTCAATCCACAATTTTCCCGAGTAACTAATGAGCGCCACCATGATGGATTTTAACTTCCGTTCCGTTATTCCGGCTAAACACCGGATTTTGTTCCGCACGCTCGCGAATCCTCTCGCTGTAAGTAACAGTGTGTAAATTAGAGGTTCATTAATTCTAAAGGAACTTTGTGAGATCGCGATGAACTGAAGTAAGTGACACATTTTTAGTGATTATAAAGAAAGGGCTATTTGCGCACTTTCTAGGCTAAATGTACTCCGTTCAGAATTTGAATGAAAATTTTGGTTTTCCTGCTGCTAACGGGCCATTTACCCCACAAGCAGCAGTTTCAGAGAGACATTATAAATCCCTCATTACTCATGTAAATGCGGGATTCATTTTCAAATGGAGAAAAATATCATTTGTCAAAATAAAAGTTCATTAAGCAAAATAAATATACACTAACCGATTAATAGAAAAATATTATATGAATTTTCGTGTCAAAATATTTTTTAATGCGGTTGCAATAATTTATCAAAGTAATGACTAGTAGCCTAAATCTCGCAATTCTCTCACTGTACATTGCTATTCTTGTGGTAAAAAGTTAATAGTTTTAACAGTTCTCTTAGTCTCTTCTGCTCATCATGGCTGCATTTATTTGATCAGAAATACAGAATAAAACAGTAGGCTAAAATTGTTAATATTATTGCAAATTAAAATAATGGTTTTCTATTTTAATATATTTTAAAATATGATTTATTCCTGTGATGCAAAGCTGAATTTTCAGCATCATTACTCTAGTCTTCAGTGTCACGTGATCCTTCAGAAATCAGTCTCTTATGCTTATTTATTATCAACAATGGAAACAGTTTTGCTGCTTAATATTTTTTTGGAAACTGTGATAATTTTTCAGGATTCTTTGATGAATGAAGTTGAAAAGAACAGCATTTATTCAAAATGGAAATCTTTTGTGAGACCACCATTCCAAAGTTTGGGGAATTTTTTTTTTTTTTAAAGAAATTAATGCTTTTATTCAGCAAGGATGTGTTAAATTGATAAAAAGTGATAATAAATACTTGTATTGTTAGAAAATATTTTTATTTTAAATAAATGCTGTTCTTTTTAACTTTATTCATCAAATAATGCTGAAAAAAAGTATCACAGGCTCCAAAAAAATATTAAGCAGCACAACTGTTTTCGACATATTACTGCGCTAAATTCATACGTTGCTTGGCAACCATATACAGCCTTAGGGTCATTCACACATAACGTGTTTTGCGTTTAAAAATACACGAGAATCCAGTGTAGTTATATATAAAAAAAAATGTAATTAATTAATTTAAAAAAAAAAGTGGTCCAAACATTTAAGGTAATGCAATGACGCAATACAATGATGACTGAGAGATGTACAAATAGACGTTCCTCAAAAACCTGTATTTGATATATTAACATATTTTTCTGATGAAACCAAAGCAAGTGTTCATTTTGAAATATTATTAACAATATAAAACGTATTCTTATCTTTACTTTATAAAAATCAATAGTAGTACATTGTATATAACGGGTTTTTCAGCTGGCTACAATAGCTCATTTTATTTCTTAACTATCTACATTTAATAATGTCAGAGTTCAAGAACGCAAACAGGTGGAAATATTACACGTTTACCAGCGAGAGCCTGTGTGTCTGTATTTAAATAATCTTCTAACCCTCTGGTACAACCTGAAGTTCAGACTAAAGAGCTCTAGAAATGGCTCAGAACATTATAGAAATCTCAATCTGTTATTATTAGAATACAGTTCTACAAAATTACTTGGGTTGACTGCACAGTACATGCTGTGAATGCGGTGTTCACATCTGATTAAAACCATATGTACAGGTTGCCCAACAGGCTCCACATTCCTTCGTGTGAAGGTGGAGAATAAGCAAACCGAACCCCCCGGAAGGCATGTATCTGTTATCTGGTTCCCAAACATGATGCATTCCAGAATGTGCTGCATGACCTCTTAGTGGTAGTTATACAGAACCCAGGCCAAGTCATTTAAAATCATATATTATATACTTCACTATCTGAAATTTTCCCACAGGACCTGTGGAATTGATATTTCTCATTCTTTAGTAAGAATCCTGCTTCTCCTGGAAGTCTATGGAAAACAAAGGATGATATGGGTGAAGCAAATCTTGAGCAAGACCACCACTGCTTTGAGAGGCTTCTGTTGTTAGGGCTCAGAGATAAATTCTCCCCTCTCCCATGCTTCTACTCTCTGTGTACAACCAGATAACGTAACCATGGAAACATGCAGCATCCAACCAATCAGCAATCAAGACCCTCCCTCCAGCCTGCTCTTCTCATGATATGCAAACAATTAATACCTTCAGCAGGAAAAATAAGAGTATGTGAGATGGTGGGACGTTTCCATGTCCTCGTCTCACTGTCTGCATTTTTCTGTCCAAGGACAGGAGGTCTATAAGAGTGATGTTTTCCATTGTGTGGGATTAATGCCGTGTGCGGTGTCAAATCCCACACACAAAAGCAGAGATGGGCATTGAACATACCTAACAGCACACATCACTGACTCTGGGAGTTAAACGCAGCTTGGAGGAAATGAATTTTCCTTACATTAACACAATTACATTACAGTCTAATGTGCTTTTGATAGCTTGAGCATAGCATTTCTGAAATTACTACATATTCACAGTGCAATTATTCCACCCAGAATTGCCCAAATTGAAAAATATACTGACATCCAGCAGTTAATCACTTGCTCTGTACTAAAGTTATGGCTTGCTGGGGTTTGTGATTGGTTACAAATTCTCATCTATCAATATTTAGGACTGCAAGACATTATGATCTTTTAGTTATTACTATAGACATCGGCATCATTGCAACTAATTATGTTATTGACCACCATTCAAGTTAAGTTATTGACCGCCACCTGAGAAATTAAATGGATATTAATTAAAGGTGGCTTGAAGTCCTTCATTGTGTGAGAGTAAAAACCAAACAAAAAACATTAAAACATTAAATGACATTCACAAAGGGTTCACAGTGCCATAATGTTAGAACAGCATCTGTGAGAAAGAGCTGTGGTTATTCAGTCTCATACAAAATACATAATAACAGTACTGTCCTGAGAAAAAGATTTGGCAATACTGTACTGGATAAAATGTACATGAGACCTTTAAAAAAAAAAAATATTTTAACAAAACTGCAACAGTCTGCAGTAGAAAATTCTGTCATCATTTTTAAATATTACAGATGCATATTACTTTCTTACATGGTAAACAAAAGAACTAATTTTGTTTGAATATTTTTCTAAAAAGTGGACTGGGTGTCTTAAGCTTAAAAATGAAGGGGAAAAAAAGTAAGTGGTCCATACAACTTGAGCAACAAATTTTCCAAAGCAATATGATAAATATGTGATAGAAAAAGGCTTAAATTTAAGCGGCATTTGCTTAAAATCTTTACCATAGTTCTCAAATCTCATTTGTGCATCTGCTCATTTCAGAAAGAATTGTATGCGTTCAAAAAAAGAAAGGCCAGTCAATTCTCAAGTGCGTAGAACAAACGTAGTTGTATCAGTCAAGTAACCGAAGTTGCCCGCACACCAAGAAAAAAAATCAATTTAATACATTCTGCACCTTTTCACAAGCAATAAGAAAAATTAAAGATCTGTTTTTGATAGATCTCTAGTCTGATTGTATTTTTTATTTTATTTTTTCTGTGTGAGCAACTTTGGTTACTTTAGCATCGGTTTATTAAAATATATAACAATGCCAACATCACGTATCTCAACATCAAACCTCATGCACTGTAAAATATTTTTTTTATTGTAAATGAATATTATCAGAGTATGTTTTACAAGAAAATACTATTTACTTGACATTTTTTTGTAATTATTACACTTTGTAATGTACTAGCAGTTTCTGAGTGAAGATTGTTTCTACACCACTTTTTTCAGCGTGTGCCTTATTTGATTTTAGACTTCAGATTAGCGTTCATTTTTTGGGTGAACTAACTAACTTTTAAGAGTTACACTCAGTTATACAATGCAAGGAACTTTTTGCAACCATAACAAATGTGTTACTAGCCGATTTGTTTAAACCCACATACGAGTCATTTAAATGCCAATTATTTGACCCTATAGTCTAATCAAAGCTAAGCAAAGCAATTTGTCACCCATTTCTACACTTTGATTTACCTGACTTAAACCGGGACAATGGCTGAGCTTGCAGTACAAATTAGTTATTTGCAATGACTCGGCTGATTTCTTCTGGAAGCATGTTTTATGAAGAACCCTCAAGGGCACCACTCCACAACATGCACAGAGTTTTTCACTCGCACACAAACCACCATCGCTTCAGGTTCTGTTGCTCTTGGTCAACGAAGCCACCGTGCTTTTGTGAGTCATTGATTAATTGTGGTCATTAGGCAGTGAAAGAATGGCCTCACCTGGAGTTAGAGGTGGAAATCAACGGGAGATTAAAATTAATCACTCTGAAAAGTGACAGTACCGACTGTAGCCTGCGGAAAGCAGGATGCAGAGGAGGGAATGAGTGAATATCTCAGTGAAAGTGTGTAGAATGATAGTGGTTTCATTTTTATTCAAAAATACATCACAAAAAGCACACAAAAATAAAATGGTTTATACATGATGTGCAAACCAAACAAATAGGAAGAAAAAAAGTTAATGTAATATTAGTACACAGGTTTTTAAAGAAAACATCTACAGTTAATAATCATTGGTTGACTCTTATTAGTAAGGAGAGTATCTATCTCTTTAAATGGCACTGTACAAAGAACCGGCCTAACCTCTACTGTAATGAAATAACAAATGGGCTCCATCCAAACAGAAAACAGATGATTCGGTTCAAGAAAGTCGATTCACACAGCAGTAAAGGTTTGCTGATCAAAGATCAGATTTCCATGTTTACACTGGCATTAGTCTCCATGTTTAAACAAGCTGAATTGATCCTGTAACTGCACCTTACAAGCTTAATAAATAAAAGCCAGGGAAATCACAAGTGCATGTGCTTTTGGGTAATGACAACATATGTATAATAAATGTTAATAATACCTTATCCAGATGGTGGATGATTAGCCTGATCATCCTCTTTTCCTTCATCAAATTCGCAGCCTGAGCGCCAACAGCCGTAAAGACAAACGCAATCAATCGCACCCAACATTACAGTAAATATATTTACACATTCAACAGAAACCCTGGTCAAAAGACAAGCAGATCATGAAAAGGCTGCTATTTGTGTACAACAGACACACAGACAGACAGCATATAGTTGTCAGCATACACAATACCCTTCCATGAGACCAAAACCAGCATTTATAAGAAGAAGAAAAAAGGAACAGTTTGTTATACATCTATCAATATATTGAATGTTTGTTGCACAGAAACTGGCAATAAATCATGTAATGTTAAATTTTGCATTACAACTCATCCTTAATCAAAATGTACTTTAAATTATGATTGTTTTGTAATCATTCACGTGTTATTTACTGCTGACATGGACTCACCAGTGACACCAGTTCATTACACCCAAAGTTAAAAAAGGCACAGTGTGAACGTTAGGGTGACCCTGCGGGATGAAATATACAGTAACCCAAACAATAAGAAAGACTGTTTCCTCAAGAATGATGACACTCACTGTGGTGGATTCGGTGACTTGAGAGTGTTAAGACTAATCCTAATCAATAAAATATTCATAAACATTCAAAAGTCTTTTAAAAATCTATAAGCAAACAACCAATCAGAGACTTGAGCACTAATCACTCTGACACGAACCGATGGGGGTTTACAACTGCCAAATGGTCCAAAAAATAAAATAAAATTCAAAGAAGGTTACGAGTTCCAGTATTAGCTCATTTTCAGATAAAACAATCTCATGTTCATATATACACATCACATGTAAATTTTCAATCCAAACAAACGCGGTTATCTTTTTTTAAAAACAATATCATCCAGAAACCAAAACCAACCCACATATTTTCCACAGACCTTTGAATAAATTTTTACCCGGCTTTTGTAGCATAAAGAAATAATAATTGTCATAGATAAATGGTTTAAAGTTGCCTAAAAATGTTTCAAACTGATAAAAAAGCAAAAAGAATAACAAATAGCTTGGGAGTTCTCATCTAAAACCAAGAGCTATGGGTTGTACTACATGCATTTTATTTAGTTCAATGGGTTTCATTTCATCTCTGGAGAACACTTAATAGGAAAACAATTCAAGTGTCATATTCTATAGGGCCTTCTATTTTTAAAATGAAAAAAAACGAAAAAACATCATGCATTATTTACAAAACAGGAGCAGGCGAATCAGTCACCTTTCCGCATCCCACTGAATAAAGTTTTTGTTAACATTTGTTGAAGTTCTGTAAGTCAAATTGTATTATCAGAGATGGTACAAGCCGAGTTCGACTCACTGCAGAGACCTTTATTTGCTCCTTCACAAATTCCACTAGAACAATGAATAGAATAGTGACAGTCAAAATGTGTGGAGAATGATCCCAGTTCAGCTTTACACAATGGAACCATCCCTGTTCTGGGCAGGGACCATGACAGCGATGGCCCCCATGCGGCTTAGGTTGGGGCCGGCCATTCTGCTGGGTGGGGGAATAGGGGCATGACTAGGGGGCTTCTCATACTCTTCAGAGGGTATCTTGTCATACTGGGGCTTGGTGTACTCGTGCAGGTTGGAGGGAGACATGGAGCCCAGAGAGGAGCGCTGGCTGCCCACGCTGGTGAAACTGCGTGCGGTAGAAACACGACTCTTTGGAGGAGGGACATCCTCTCTGTGGGAGGGAGGGGGGGAAAAAAGTGTTCAATCAAAACCTGTGAGGGAGTCAATAAGATTTACTTCTGCATTTAAAAAAAAAAAACAAGGTTGAAAGATTTTTGACATTTTACAACTTAACTGTACCTTGTCATAAAAAGTTCAAATTACATAATATCTACATAGGTTATATAATATATTCTATTACATTATTTACGGTTTTCTTTTTTGGTTGTTTCTGCATGTTGGTTAGATCACATAACTTTGTTGGTGCACCAAATTACTTTGATTTATGCAGTTTTGTTAATACACTACTGTTCAAAAGTTTGGGGTTAAGTTTTTTTTTTTATATATTTTGGAAAAGTCTCTTATGTTCACCAAGGATGCATTTATTTGATTTGCAATTTAAAATAACAGTTCTCTATTTCATTATTTTAAAATGTAAATTTTTTTTTTTTCAGGATTTTTTTTTTTTTGGTTGAACGGTTAAAAAGAACAGCATTTTTTTTTATATCAAAAATTGAATCAATTTAATACATCCTTGCTGAATAAAAGTGTTAATTTCTTTAAAAAAAAAAAAACACTACTAACCCCAAAAAACAAACTTAAATGTTTATTTTAAAAAAAGACTGCCAAGTAAGTAAATAAAGCAACATAACTAGGCAATTTCCAAACCAAAAAAACAAGCTAAATCTCACTAAATGGTCTCAATAAAACCATTTTTTGTTGAGTTTGAAAGCACGGTTCATGAGGAAGTCAATTCAAACTTCAAACTGTGTAATGACAGGTCAATTCAAATTAAAAAAGCATCTCCCTCTGCACCACAATACAACTTTGACACAGGCAGGAATGGGCACAATGAGTCTAGAATTGCAGCTGAGTAAAGATTTGTTTGGTTTGTTTTGGTGCTTTGCCACTCTGGTCTCAGATTGGCTGAATAAGACTATGGATTTCCAGTGTAGCCCATCGGGCCTGCTCTTCCCCCATCCTCCAAATGAACAAGCATTCAGCAGCAATAATCCATTATAGCACAGAACACAGCAAACAAGAGTGAGACAGCGGGGTCTCCTCTAAGAGAAGCGGGCTTATTTGGATAATCCTCTTTTGTCATGGCCTATGTGAGGCAGCGCATGGCTCCCAGACAGAGTGTCCAGCTCTGGGGTCCAAGGGGGGCCTAATACAGGGCCTGACCCACAGCCTGCCCCTTCTCAGAGAGGAATGCCATTTCAATAGGTCGGGGAAGCGAGAGAGGGACAGAAGGGGGAGGCACTGACAGAGCAGGAATCGACTGAACAAACAAATGCACAGAACGGATTACACCAGCCTTTCATTTGAAGAGAAAAGGGGTAAGAGGGGAAGAGTGACGGCATCACTAGTCAGTTTTTCGCTGCCCATCAGCTTTGTTTGGTCATCAGTGAGCATAGAGGAGGCATGTGATTGGATGAAGAAACTGAGTGAATCACACAGACATAGGGACAGTGACGTACCAAATGGCATCTGTGTCAAGAGCTCCCTTTCTCCTTCATTCTTGTTCCTTTCGTTATTAGGCTGAAGACCGTTGTCTCCAGACAGTATGTCAGTTGGGAGAAGCAAGTGTTCTTATAATTCAGTGCGTGTCTGAGTGAATTACACTAACAGGTGTTTTTCTAAGAACTCCTCATTTATGCGATTAATTAGGGTCTTGTTGGAAAAGGTTCACATAGACATGCCTAAAAGTAATTACATAGGATTACAGTCAAGTGTGAGTGTAGTACCTGATCTCATAGGCAATCTCCTTCTCGTACTTCTTCTTGTTGCGGGCACGGCAGAAGCAGAAGAGGAGGAGTGCGAGGAGAATGAGAAACAGCAGAATGCAGATTACTACAGCTGCGATGACGCCGGCATTGTTAGGGGCTGCAAAGGGCCAGAGAGAGACTTTGAGATAAACAAGTTTAGAGTCTAAGACATTACCCATAAGCCCATTCACCACATCACTGTAATCAGATAATGAGGGAAAGACAAAGATGCACCACCTTGGATGCAGGCTGAAACTCAGACTTTGCTATTTTAATGTTTAAAGAGGAATAGGGAAGGCTTATGAAGACTCACGTTGTGTGATATTGACCTCCACCAAACACTCTCCTGTTCCAACACGGTTTTTAGCAATGCATTTGTATGTTCCTGAAGCTGCCTCAGTCGCGTTTCTCAGACTCATGGTGCCCCCGACTGGATCTGTGCACAGCAGCAGACAGATTCTTCATTTTAACTGAGGCATCTGACAGTTATGACAGTTTATCAAAATTGTAAAAATATAAATAAATAAAATTATTTCAAGGTACATGAGTCAAAGGAACTTACCCAGCACTGCCAGGGGTGGCAGTAGTTTATTGCCTGTGGTTCTTTCCCAAATGTACTGCAGTGGTTGTGTGCCCTCCACAGAGCTACACCTCAACACCATATCTTTCCCCGCATGAGTCTGACCCTCTGCATAACATCTGGGTTTAGAAGGGCGCACTGTGGGAAAGGAAACAGGAAGAGGAGACGGTTAGAACAAAAGAAAATCAAAACTACTAAAAGGACCAGCAGTTTCATTGGAGCTATTCCACATGACAATTTGCGGACTTATCAAGCAGCACTATAAATCGCTCCAATCGCAAAGTGAAATTAATTAATTGTCCATGAATAATAATTTAAAGATTTTATTATTATTAATATTATTATTATTATTATTATTATTAAGAAGCACAAGTATATACAAAATTAATGCATAAAAGATATTGGACAAATCAAAGGCATAAAAATTATCATTTATAGTTGCAAGATATCATGCTAAAGATTTATAAACATATGTACAAAGTATATAATGTCTTATGCATATAGAACTACGCAGTATGAATGAGCTATTAGTATAGCAATGTTTTATGCATGAGACCACAAGTTTAGGCAAATATCTCAAAGAGGAAAATACCATCATTCCACTCTGACCAGCTAAAAGCTCAAATATCATCTCCCGTCTCACATATGGTGCATCACGGACATAAAGGATGAGTCCCCGAGGCCCCTATTTCACACTCCACCCATATTCATTCTCGCTGCATCATAACTAATCACAGCATAGGAAGCCATGATCACGGTAATGGATACAGCTGCTGCTATTACAGGTGCTGTCAATCAACTTAATTAAAATCAGAACGCAGTGGGTGTCAACATTCTTTGAGATAAAAGAGCGAACAAAAGCAGAGGAAGAGGGTGGGAAAGTGGCTGGGTATTTGTAAGACAGACAGCATGTGTTTTCTAAAGATATATGCATTAAAAACAGCAGGGAAAGTGGGTGAAATGAAATCTATGTATATAAGGTGGGAGGGACATGCGGAAAGATAGTGAAAGATTGGATGGGGGAGGGGTGGAGAACATAGGGAGCTCTGTGTAGAAACCAAAGCCTGCACAAACAGACCCCTTCCTCGCTTGGCAGGAGATGACATGAGAATTCAAAGGCAAACAAAACTCCAAATTAAAACCAGGAGGAGGAGGAGACCGATTCAGAGCCCCACATAAGGATGGCAAAGAGACAGAACTAAAGGGAGACAGATTCCACACAAATAAAGAGACAGGGGGCAAGACAGACACAGGAATGTCAATAATCGCTCTCTGTGATTCCTCCCAACCTTGGGCAGGGTGTTGGCATTTGAGTCTCTATCGACATCATCGTTTGATCATTGAAGCTGTAAAAACAGATCTCTGGGGCTGCTGGGACAGAGGCTTAGAGACCTGAGGATTAACAGCAATTTAATAGGATGAGGGGTCAGAGCACAGCAGCTTCCTCTGACAGAGAAATTAAATGTGTGGTGAATGATGGACAGGTGGGAGGGAGAAATCAAGGTGTAGACTGACTAATGCACGAGCTTAAACCAACGCACGCATCTATACTAAAAATCCATATCTGTTTCTTTGAGAAAGACAGTTTGTTATTATTAGACATTACTTTCTATAAGTTGAAGTTGTTTTACAGCTCAGCAGTGTGACCAAGGCAAGCATGTCGGTATTCTGAGGTGATCACACTTGACTGGTCATAACAAATGCGAGAAGAAAAACAAGAATGAAAAAGTCAAACTGCCCAATGCAACTCCAGAGGCATAAAGGTGTGAAAAGAAAAAGGTCAAGCACTTTTATTTTCTGCTGTCTGAGAAAAGATGAATTTACTTTTTCCACCTTGAATTGCTAGATAGTTCACCCTAAGTAAGAGCTTCTCTGTTCATTCAATCTGGGAAATAAATTATGATGAGACATGTTTAATTAAAAATTTTAAAACATTCCAATGAAAACCAATTTACAGTACAAATTACTGGGACAACAGTTCGCACATTGGCTAACATCTTTGCTCAACTACCAATAAAGCAAAAAGCCAACAGAAACACGCCAGACTTATAACGAACTTGCAATTTTGAAAAACAACCACTTAATTATTGTTTGCACTAGAAATTGAGGAAAAAGTATAAGTACTAAAATAAGTACTAAAATGACTAAAACTGAAAGAAATATTAAAAATTAAACAGAAATATAAGTTCGCACATTGGCTAACATCTTTGCTCAACTACCAATAAAGCAAAAAGCCAACAGAAACACGCCAGACTTATAACGAACTTGCAATTTTGAAAAACAACCACTTAATTATTGTTTGCACTAGAAATTGAGGAAAAAGTATAATAAGTACTAAAATAAGTACTAAAATGACTAAAACTGAAAGAAATATTAAAAATTAAACAGAAATATAAAAAAATATATAAAAATGACAAAAGCACAATTCATAAAATATATAAATATAAAATAAAAACTGAAAATATAAAAATAAAAGCTAATTCAAAATATGAACAAATACTATAATAGTATATAAATAACAATAAAATATTAGAGCAGATGTCTGCAAACCCTTTAAACTACATGCCTAAACTCTACCTAAACCTATATAAAGTTGCCTGTTGGAGAAAGAGCTGAAAGTTGCTTGCGCCTACTAAAAGTGCTGTGTTTCTCTGTTTCTGCATCCCTAGAGCAGAGCCGTGTCTCTCTGAGGTGGCAATGTACCACATATACAGCCCCTTTAAGTGAATGCCCTTGGACTGCTATCTCTGATGGAGACGCGTTTAGTAAGGAACACACGCACACAGCCAGACAGCATCTGCTCTGAATGCAGGTACAGAGTCCCCGTGGTCATCAGCGATAAGATGAGGGTGGACAATGAAGGGAACAGGCGAACAGAGAACAGCTGCATTCATCAACTTCTGAGAGCACAACCAATCTGTGTCCTTCCATCTGTCTTACTGTGGTCCAGCTCCAATCACCGGGTCAGCTCTTGCCAAACAGTCCTTCACTTTAATAAATTAGTGGACTTTAAGTCTGATAAAGTCTTTTGCCAAACCAATCACTGGTTCATGAATTGACACTGATATCAGTCAACCACTTCACCTTCACTTTTTTCACTTCGTCTTTCGATTCTGGATATCATAGTAAAAACTAAATGTAACTGAACACTCCATTAAATAAGGTAAATAATATAATAAAATATATAAAATACATGTTCAAAAGTTTGGGGTCTTATGCTTACCAAGGCTGCATTTATTTGATCAAAAATACAGTAAAAACAATAATATTGTTAACAAATTATTACAATTTAAAATAACCTTTCTATTTTTATATATTTTAAAATGTAACTTTATTGTTTTAATTGACCAATAATTTTGACAATCCTATTCATAATAAATAAATAATATTTCTGGCTACACTGAAAAATATTAGCACACCACACAGATCCCTTGGTGGATTGTCCATTTAATACTGGGATTTCACCTCTATTAAAAACATTTTCCCTGTTCTTTTTTTCTTCTTTTTCCTGATTCGTTTCTATTTTTAATCATGCATCTGCAATGCAAATACACATCTCGTTTGTTTGGTTATTGAGTTTCGGGAAGTGACGTCACGTCACTGTCATCATAATGTTTGGGGAGTTGCTTCTGATGGCCTTGTCTGGCGTTCATGTTTGCCTAGGGTGTTTCTGTGTTGGCACTAGTCAACACAACAAGGAACAGGTGATATTTCACACACGATGCAGCACTGATATCACACTTGCTGTTGACAGCGATCAATGCATACCTTGAAAGGCATGTCAGAGGGCCTGTGAAATCAAACTTTATTGTGCATTTATGGTGCAGATCAATACATCATCACTCAGGACTTTCCCTTAAGTTTTATAGCTCACCTTCCAGAAGAAAAGAAAATAAGAATGGAGAGTGTTTCTCAAAATAACACCAAATAAGGCAAGCATTTTTGTATAAACGGTGTTAGAGATTGGTTGACTTATTTAGCCAAAAGTGGCATTTACAAGCTAATATTTTTCACTCACCCATGACGGTCAGGAGGAACTTCCTGCTGCTGATACCAGGAACCTTCTTCACCTTGCACTGATAAGTGCCTGTGTCTGTGGCTTTCAGACCCATGATGTTCATGGAGGCATCACCGTTTTTAGGGTCAGGGGAGTTGAAGTGAACTCTTCCTTTAAGAGGTTCGTAATAGTGTTCAAAGGCCCTGTCACCTGAGTACACAATCACCTGTGGGAAGGAACGAGAGATGACAAAGCAAAAGAGAATCATGTTTTAGTAAGTGTAACTCATGTATTGGTGAAATGTTCCTCAACATTTCAGTTTAACAACTGTGGGTGGGAAAAAGTGCAGTTTATATGTATCAGTGAAAGGTCAAACTAATGATCACATTCAGACCAAAACCTCATTTTTCTGCATTTGAATGTCAGTTGGACAAAGACAAACACAGTGCTCCCTCTTATCTTAAAAATGTCCTCCAGCACAAGTGAATTATTTGCCCTTTTAATGTACAACCTGAACAAAGTATTCTTGTTAGGCTACTTTAACACCTTCTGTCACCAGAAGGTATATTTTAAATGAGCCAATCATCAATACATGCTTATCTCTCACAATGCTACATCGTAAGGGACAGTACAGGTCTGTTTCTGGCTAAAAGACATACGCGCTTAGTACAAACACAGATAAAGACATGCACAGAGTCTTGTCACCCATGAAGGGAAAATATGGGATCCATTCAACAGACCCCATCCCCACCACATCATTTCCATGACGATGGAGAAGCGACGGCCTCCCATGGCATCTTGAAAAAAAATTATAATAAAGGGATAGGGACAACTGCCTGAAGCAACATACAGGCACTATGACGTACTTCAATTCAGAAAGTCAAAACAAAGTCTGCTCAAGGCAGAGAACAAAAGATACAAAATTGAAATCCGAGACAACAACTGATGGATATAACCAAGTCCCTGCCCTACATTTATTTATTTTTCAATAATCTGTTACAACACATGACTCAACACAGAAGAACAGATATGTTGCTATTTTCATTTCATCAGACTTTAACAATAGTTAGTCTTCACTATAGGGTCAGTGTGCAGTTTCACCGCCATCTACAAGTCAAGTCTTCAAGGACATAGTGTGACTTGTTCAAATCAAAGTGTGCATATGTTTACTTGTGCGTCTTGTTTACACTCGAGTGTATGCCTGTAGGTATGTGCACTTCCTCCGGGGCCACATGAGGCTTGTTTGAAATGCAAAGCAGCATTGAGTCACCTGTGAGATCAGTCTGCTTTACAGCCCAGGCAATTTCGGAAGGCCTGCCTGTATACATCAGTGTCTACCCTCACTGCACAACCACAGATGCTGCTCTGACCCACAGTATCTGCTACTGGGAACTAGTACATGCCAACTACCACAGCTTTTACACAGGTAATCATATACTACTATAAAGTACCCCATTTACCCCTGTACTTACAAATGTATTTGCAAATGACTTGGCGTTTCCCTGAAACAATTTTAAATATTAACGCATAGACACTAGTTAGTTAAAAGGTTATTTAGGCATTACTTTGGCAAACTTTATTTTATTCCAGATGGATAAAATAAAAGTCCTTACCCTTTTATATTGTATATTACTCAGAAATACACTAAAGTCCAAATGCTTTTTAAAGAATTGAATGCTTTTGTATTTAATTGATCAAAAGTTAAGTCATTTATCTTCTCACAAAATTTTTCCATTTCAAACAAAATGCTGTTCTTTTGAAACTGCCATTCATCAAGGAATTCCGAAAATAAAACCTACCACAGTTTCCACAAAAACATTAAGCAGCAGAACTGTTTTCAACATCGTTAATAAGAAATGTCTCAAATCAGCATTTTAGAATGATTTCTGAAGAATCATTTGACACTAAAGACTGGGGAAATGATGCCGAAAATTCAGCTTCACTGTAAAATAACTTATTGCGTTGTATTTTATGGTCAACGGATATGTCCGTAAAATTACTGGATAATTTCCTGGCAGAAAATTACCAGTACATTTTTTACTGACCTCAAACTTTTGAACGTCAGTGCATGTCATTACATAAAATTTTTCACACTACTCAAATTTAGTATCAAATGGCATTTCATGTTGATTTAAACTGTTCAAATTAACTAGACACCTTCTCTCTGACTCACAAATACAGATATGAAAACACACATTTTCCAATCAATGCAAAAAACAGCAACTGGGATACTGCAAAACAAAAAAAACTTATCTCCTTTTCTATATGTAAAAATGCAATGATAAAATCACTGCATGCTGACTTCTGTTTTCTAAATAATGCTTTTGTTTTGCATTTCCCATTGTCACTCTCAGACTCAATCACAGCAGGGCTATTGTGCAATTGCAGGTGCCGCTTAAGAGATTATGGAGCCACAGTGCATGTACAGTGAGTGTCACCCCCAATTCCCATCCATTCTTCAATATAATGCAAACACTAATGGCCAATGCAGTTTTGTATGGAATTCGTCAACTCGTCAACAGCGTCCCACAAACAAGAGAATCATTCACGCATCACTGTGTCCCAAAGACCTTCACAATGAATACAATCATTGGAAATTGGGTTCTGCATTCAAGGTTGATTCATTGTTTCAGTTCTTGCGCTTAAAAAAAAATAGGAACTGTTGTTGAATACAGGAGAAAATTTATTTTCCTTCAATAGGAAAATACAGTGTCAAGCCCTCTTTCATTTTTGATCAAACGTGAGAGATGAAAAAGAAGGGATGTGTCCAAGATAGACCAAACACTGATAAGTCAGTTGGTCTTTGTTTATAACTCCTCTATCATTTATTGACTCATTTAGTAGCTTTTCAAGGCCAATCAGTGAAGGAAAGGGCAAAAATCCTGTAAAAACAGAAATATTGTGAAATATTATTATTACAACTTAGTATAACGTATTATTACAATTTAATATAACAGTTTTCTATTAATATGTTAAATGGGTGCCCAGGAAATAATTATTGTTATTATCAATGTTGAAAACAGTTGCGCTGCTTAATATTTTTGATGAATATAACATTTATTTGAAATACAAATCTTTTGTAACATTATAATATGTATTTACTGTCACTTTAGCTCAATGTAGGGGTGGGCAATATGGCAAAAATTTCGTATCACAAATTTTATTTTTTTCAGGAAAATCATGATTCTATCACTATTCTTTGTCATGTTGGTTTAACCATTTTGCAAGTTGTCTGAGCAGTACAGCCAAACTAATTTCTCTATTTTAAAAACAAGGCCTTGGTAACAAAATATAAAATAAAAAAAGAAAGGCAAACATTTAGGCTAAAGTGGACAAAGATAAAAAATAATTTACTCTTTGTTATTAAAAAATAATAAAGATACCAGTACAGCCAAACTAATTTCTCTATTTTAAAAACAAGGCCTTGGTAACAAAATATAAAATAAAAAAATACGTGTATTTAGCAGTATTATTCAAGAAATGGAATGAACAAATACAAAAAAAAACACTATAGACACTTCACTGTCTAAATTATACATTGATTCATATTAAAGCAACTGTATTAAAGTTATTCAGTCAAGAGCAGCGAGTGACTTTTCTCTTTGTGTTTTGATGTTTTATTAACATTAAAGGGATAGTTCACACAAAAATTTAAAATCATTTAGTCACTGACTCTCAAAGTTGTTTTAAACCTGAATGAGTTTGTTTCTTCTGTTGAATGTAAAAGTTTTGAAGAATGTAGGTAACCAAACAGATGCTGGTCCCCAGTGACTTCCATAGTATTTTTTTTCCTACTATCAATGTCAATCAGGACCAGCAACTGTTGGTTACCCACATTCTTCAAAATATCTTCTTTTGTGTTCAGCACAAGAAATTAATACAGGTTTGGGACAACATAAGAGTGAGTAAATAATGACAGAACTTTAATTTTGGGGTGAACTATCCCTTTAATTACAAACTGCAGCATTTAGTCTGCTGTCGCTTTAAGAGCTGCATGCATCTAATATACAGGCACGCATCTGTTTTTCTCTCAACTGTTTACTTTCACTTTAGACATAACCAATTGTAATAGATAAACCTTGTGTGTTTTTGACCGTATTAGCGTAATCAGTTGTGAAAGATAACTTAGTCCAGTAATCAGGTGCTGTTTGACAGGTTTTTTTAGCGTGCGCGACGGAGGCGCCAGAACTGCAACTGATAGAATGTGCACTGTAACACGATACTACAATCTTTCTTCAAAAGCAGATCATGGAGACATTTTAATCATCCATGATCAAAAATCGTGATATCGCACACCCCAGGTCAATGCATCCCTGCCATTTAAAAAAATATAATAATAATAATAATAATAGTTTTATAAACTGATAGTGTGAAAAAAAATGATCAGAATTGGACAATACAAGAAAGCCTTCAAAATATTTTAATACTAGTATATATAGGTCATGTTTGCCATTTCAAATGCAATACAGCATTAGAAATGATCTGAAAAGGTGTGACTATGTAGATACTAGGGCTGGGTAAAAAAAAAAAAATTTCTCGATTTTAATCAATTCTCATTTTTACTCTCAAACTATTCTTAAATCCTGTCTCATGTAATCGCTCAATCAGCATTTCAACTGCGGAAAGACGACAATATAACAGCTTGTAAACAATATGTCACGTAACGTCACATTTGGGGGGAAAAAAAACATTCGGTGACCATGAACTCGTTAGTCAACTAAAATGAACTCTAGAGAGGAGCATTTTGCTAAATATATGCACCATATAACATATTCATTATAATTTTTACTGTTCTCCAATATTTCATTTATGTTTGAATAAATCAGTTTTTAAAATTTTATGACAGCCAACATTTAAATGTTTAGTTCAAAAAAAGAAATGGAGTAGAAATATAATTATGTAATTGTAATGTTAGTATAACTATTATTTAATGTTAGTATTATAACTTTATTAATCTAAAAAAAATCTAAATCTATTATAAAAAAGTCATTGAGTGTAATTTAAGTGTTTGTATACAAATCAGTTCATTTTAACCTTCAATATTATAGTAATGTAGTACCAACTGACTCTCACGTATATATTTTATAGCATTTGCTGAGAGATTTTTTTTCCTTGAGAAAATTTGAAATGTGCTGTACCTGATATATCCAAAACAATCAATATCAAATCAGAACCGAATCAAATCAAATCGCAAGCTTGTAAATCAAAATAGAATCGAATCGTGAAATTTGTGTCAATACCCAGCCCTAGTAGATACTGTAATAATAGTTGCCAAAGCAAGAGTATAACGCCATGAAAAAACATTGCAAAGAACTGGGGCACAATAACAGTTATAAATTTCTCCCAAAATACAAAAAAAAATTTGTAGTAGTCCATGTCCAACCTTCAACTTCTTATAAACCATTAAAAACGATTAAATGGGTCAAAGACAAATTTCAAGTCCTGGGGCAAAGCCTAGCAGAACAGAGGGGGAAGAGTGCAGATCAGCACTGAGCAACTGAGGGGAACAGAAATGTGAGGAGAAAGGGAGAATGATAAAAATAGAATGAAAAATTAGGTGTAGAACGACAGAAGAAATGAAGGAGCTTTGAGAAGAAAAAAATATGGAGTAGAGAGAGAGCATGTGTGAGAGAGAGCGAGATAGTAAGAAAGGTGCAAGGATACCATTGAGATCGACCACTGAGGGCTTCTGACCCAATTCTGTCCCCAGCTAAATGCATAATCTCTGGAGAGAAAGAGTATGAGGTCATCTCTGCATGTAGGGGCTGCAGCAGACAAGCACACACATATCTGGCCGCTTACTCTACCTGCAAGTCCAGTGGTTAGGGCAAAAATCAGCCTTTTGTAAGGACATGCGAGATGGTTTAATTATGGTCTATATTACAGAGATAGCATTTGTGTGGATGCAGGGGGAAAATCAGTGCCTCTGCAGACCACAATTCATAGAGAAGTGTAAGCACTTAAACACACAAAACATCAATACAAAACATCAATTAACAGCTGCCAAAACCAATAAAACTCAAATGCACATCAATGTGAGTAAAACCATAATATGATCCTTTATGTAGACCCACACACATATCCATGCAGGGAACAACTTTACAGAGCACTAAAACAACAGGGCACGTTCATAAAACACCCATTGCAGTGTGCTGCGTTTCCCTCTGACAGATGTGGCGCTCACAAACCAGCACCTGCTCGCTGCAGATCAAAGCAGGTAAAATGTACAATCAAAGGTCAACCTTCAAGGACGATCACACCACCAATACTTGACTTCTAAATGGATCTTAATTGGGATGCTGACTAAGTATTAGGGCTGGGACAATATATCGATATGGTGATATATCGTTGTCCTTCTCCATGCGATACGAGAATCGATATCTGGCGCCAAATATCGATATTTTAATTACTACAATAAGGCACTCTATATAGATTTCCCTGCTCCCAGCATCTAAAAATGCGTGGAAATCACGGCCGCGCCATTTCCACCTTCTTTCCAAAGCATTCTGAGCAACCATGAACCGAGTTCTCTATGAAGATGGGGAAGCAGGAGAAACCGAAGGATAAACAGATTTCCAGCCACTGTATTAGCTCTACTGCTATATATATATATATATATGTTTATGGAAAATGAGAACTAAAAACTGCCCCAGAACAGCTATCAGCATGGACCATAGGCACCGATCACGTTATTATTGCTGAGTGCTTATTCAGTCCATGAGTAGCCTAACCTCTCCGCTCTAATCGCAGGTGGATTTCCCTCACTATATGAGAGAGCGCCGCCGACGCGTCCAGTTTTATGTGAACAAAACTGGATGCTCTCCCTCTCTCTCAGATAATACAAGTGAGCGTTATGCAGTGGGCACCGACTGGCAGAAACATAAATCTGCACCTATGGAATGGACAACGAAACAAAACCTCATCAGAGCCGCATGTACTTAGCATGTTAAATTTGATTTACAGAACTTTTGTGCTGTTTTATAACAGTTTGGGCTTGAATAAAGAGAGAAAACTTGCACTTAACCTTTTCACAGGCATTTTGTTTTCATAGTTAGACAGATATCGTGATGTATCATTATAGAATTGTCTAGCAATATATTGATTATCGCAGAATCGCTGTATCGTGATATTATCATATCGTGAGCCATGTATCGTGATTTGTATCGTATCGTGAGGTACCCTGCGATTCCCACCCCTACTAAGTATTGTTGTTTAATCGTTTGGGATTCAAAGTGTGGTTTTCTGATTAAAATTGTGACCCATTTAGCGGCCAAAAATGTTGTGATTATATATCAATATGACTAGAAAATAACAACTACAACAATTATTATTATAATTATTAATACTATTAAATATAAAATAATAAATATTACTATTGTTATATTTCACTGTAAAATAAAAAAAAGAAGTCTTTAAGAAAAATAATGCAATAATTTCTAATAAATTTTACCTGTAAAATTACAATACTAATATTTCTGGCTATCTTCATTTCTCCATTTTCAAATGTTAAATAAATTAAGCTTTTATTTTCATGGAATACCACAGGGAACTATTAAAGCTTCTCTTTTGTTAACAACAGCCACTTTAGAAGCACTTCTAATTAAAAGTTTGAGAATATGATTGGCGAATATTGCATTCCCAAATGCATGTTTCAAGTGACCCAAACACAAAGACGCAAAGATTTCCTGCGAACATCTGTGACACTGAAAACACCGGATCATGAGCTGCTTGTGCATGAACATCAAATTAAAAATCATATAGGTTCTGATTGGAGAGAATGTTGTGTGAAACATAGGTGCTGTATGTAAGTTTTTGACTCTAATAAAGCATAAAAATATCATAATATGTTTGCAGATATTTAAGAAACATGCTAAGATAACATACTTGTTTATCTGAAATACAATGCTACAGTCAGTTATTCTCCTTTGAAAATGTGCGTTCCGGGCCGGAATGTCGGTCTCTATTTTGGTTTGTGAAACCCGCCCACTGCCAGTTTACTGTACAATTGTATTTCGGCACCCCGGGTTGCCAGTTGGCGGTAAACACAGAGTATTTCATTGCATTCATCGTCATGTGCGCTCGTTCCTGTTGGTGTCGTCAATCTGGCAACCTGCGTGTGCGTCAAGTCTGAGGAGAAGGGGCCCGGTGAAAAAACCCTCTCCAATATTTTGAATTTGGACTGCAATACCTAGTTCAACCACTAGTTGCCAATCCTACATACAGCACCTTTAAGGCTGGAATACACTACACAACTTTTAAAATCTGAACAGAACACTGGCCATCATACACTTACCGACTTTGTAAATGGTTACAGATGAAAAACTGGCCATCATACACTAAACGGCCAAGGACCACACACTACCAGACTTTAATTCCGATCACAACAAACTCACACAGAAATGTGTGAAATCATAGGAGACACATAACAAATTAAAACAATATGCGTTCTAAAATCAGCTCAAAATATCAAACATGTTTGATCTCCTCCGACTAGATGGAATCAAAGTCTGAAGCTAAAAAAATCGGAGTCTGTGACCATCATTCACTATGCAATTTTCTACTCAATCTGTCAACTCAAATCTGCAGACTGGCTCTGACTTCTGGCAACTAACGTCGACTTCTCCAGACTGAAAATCGGGGCAAAAATCATGTAGTGTATTCCAGCCTTTTGGCTAGAACACTGTGTACGAGTGTGGATGTTGACGATGCTTTGCACAACAGAGGCAGTCAAACTAGTTCTGAGAGTTTGTTTTTGCTGATAACAAGAACTTGTGACAGGAAGAGAGGCAACAAAGCACAAGGGACAAAGTCAAACTAAACTTCCCAGAGGCTTTTGAATAATGCAGATATCAAATATGTTTTCACCAAGCACATAAATAGACACTCTTTCACATAGACACTAACCTTATCTCATAACTTGATACACAATCACATTGTCTACTCACCACTTTCTCTTCTTTCTGGTTGTCAGAGGGCTGCAGGCTCCACTCAATGTCCAGAGGCCCAGAATCCTCAGCAGAGAGAGTAAACTGACAGTCCAGCTTCACAGTCTCTCCACTGGCTTTTTCAATGGATGTGGGGCTAGTGGAGGTGATCTGTAGTCCACAGGCAGAGCCTGAAAAGAGCAGAAACGATAATGCTTTCAAACAGTAATGAACATGCCGCATACTATTTCCAAAACTAATAATTTTAGTAAAATAAACAATTAATAATAAATAATTACTAAATAATTTGCACGATCGGCTTCTTTTGTAAACGTGTGGATGGATGTTGTTTTCACATCACTGCATGGTTTGGATCTGATATCAATACAGAAGTTATAACTCAAAGCCTGTGAAATGCAGCATCCTTGAGACAATGACCAAATTCTGTGGTCTGAGAAGATATGCTTGGTGCATAGCCTCATTAGAGCTGAAGATAAATACATCCGAGATCATCTATTCTTGGAATGAACTTAATTTAGTAAATGACTTCTAACAGAGCACACAGCAGTGGGGCTCTGTACAGCAGAGTTCAAGAATAAGTATAGACATTAGATAAACCTCAAAAAAGCATATCATCATCATACGCTATCATTTTCTAACAGAATCCAGACAGGCAGAGGCACAGTTTATAAGCTCCTCTTGATTGATGATACATAGTAAAATCAATTTCTTTACTGTCAGGAACAACCAGCAATATGCAAGTCATATGCATGTATATCTGTCTATCTGCAGCATTGGATTTTTACACTGGATATATGCAAGCGTAATAAAAGACCAAAAGTCATTGTAACCAAGTACTGAGTACATGTGGGATGTTTCTAAACAAGTTTCAGTGAGTTGACTCCGCCCATAGACATTCATAGTGATGCACAGCTGAAACTTCAGAACAAGAAAGTCCAGTTTTTTGAAAACAATTAGAAACAGGTGGTGCCATTCCCGTAGAGATCAGAATATTGTAGAGGACGCCTCTGGCTACTAATCAGAGTTCAGTCCCATGAGGTTCTGCTCTTTCGTCACAATCAAGGGACTGGTTGTTGATCAGCTTTTAAATTACATTTCACACAACACAAACAGTTGAATGAAGCTGCAGGGTGTGTTGCACCGCATTATATAAGAGAGAATCGTTTAAATGTCACACTTATGACAGTGTGTGAATTTACCTTGGGTATCACCGATGCTTTGATTTGTGGGGTCGAAGAATATTACGAATGTGTATCGCACAAGGAATACTGATTCAAATGAAAAGCGGCACTGCAGTCAACAAATTAATATTGCTGGCACGGGCCATTCAAAATCCCCCCCATTAACAGTAATATATGCTCATTTACCCGTGATCAAAGTAATTCTTTAAACTAATGGATCCTTTGGTGACCATGGCGGAAGGCTGCATTTCATTTCATTTTAATTAATATAGCCAGCTCTCTAGCAGAGATCAGGGCTACGTTGAGGACATGACTTCATTCAATCACTTACACCTATTCTCTCCATCTGGAGCCATAAATCTGGTTCTAAAACCCATAGTGCTGTGCTCCACTACCACGCTAATGGCAACTCTTCTACAATTTTTTTTTATTATTTTTACTATTAAGTGACTAAAGAACATATGTCTTTCTTACCAAAAATTACAAACCAGTCTAAACCGGCTTTGCTACAAATCAAAGCCACCCTTTACTGTCCCACCCTTTATCTCTCAACTATAATCATGCAAATGAAATAGTACATAACAGTTTGCGTATATGATGGATGTCAGTAATCAATACTGGCCGAGCATGAATACAGAACAAGAGAGCTGAACTGAATATAAACTAAGCATGGCTGTACACAAAAATGTGATTTTCAATTTTCATTGCATGTGTTCAATGTGTTCAACAGAGCCAACAGATGTACAGATGCACTCATGAAACGAAAATCACACATACTAAACAAGACACCAAAAATGACCAGGTAATGGTCTTCTTATAGTACCTTAGAGAATCTGCAGTGGCATTTCACAAATGTTTCTTTCAAATTTGTTATTGAATGGGCCTTATTTCCAGTGTGCTACTAGAATATCTCAACTGGGTAAAAGAGTGAGTGAAACCAAAACACATTTAAAATGCAAATCGAAGGTTTGCTAACATCAATATCCTCATATCTAACTAAACTAATTACACATGCCACAATTCATTTTTCATTATCACATGATTGGGCACCATTTTGACGGGCACATCATAGCAGCCTATCAATAAACCACCAAATAATAATTGTAAAAATGATTTAATATTAGAATTACACTGACATTTAAACACATGTAAGCATCTGAGGCCAATTTAAAGCAGGAAAAACTGCTCCCATTTCAAAATTCAAGACATGCTAAACTGCAGAGCTTACGTAATCACGTAAAACGGAAAATACACAGAACATGTCTGCATTAAAATATCTGAAGATTAAGGAAACAAGAGGAGATATTAATCAAGAACAGACTTAGGATCTGCTGCCTTGGTAAAAACATGTGTAAGGCCTAGAATACGGTTGTCAGTCCTGTTTTTGAGTCCTTAATACGGTTACGTTCACACACAGTTCAGTTATTTACGGGCGTGACAACCGCATTCTGTAACCGAACTCACACCCGTAAATTTTCAGGACTCATAACCGCAGTCTCGGAACACACGCGTTTTGTGTGAACGGAACAGGACTGAACAACTAGTTGTCTCTCACGTCATACAGTGCGAGAGAGAGCCACTCTGCTGCACAAACGCGCGTCTACCGTGTGTTACGTGTTTTCGGTAACTTACAGTGACGGAGAAATGAGCTGCGTGTCATCTGAACGTTTTAGAGCCCGTCAGTTTTCCACCGGAGCCGCTCCCGTTAGTTTTGTGTTCTGCGCGATTCAAATTAGGGCTGCACGATAAATCGCATGCGATATTTAACGCGCATCTTGTCAGTAAAGCCATTCTGTAATCAGCAGTAAATCTCCATCACATGCGGGCTTTCACATGGAGCAGCATTAACTACACAGAGCCGTTGTTCACCGACAAACTGCGCAAAACATGCGCAAAATATGATCGTGGTTTTGCGTAGCTTGTCAGTGAACAATGGCTCTGTGTAGTTAATGCTGCTCCATGTGAAAGCCCGCATGTGATGGAGATTTACTGCTGATTACAGAATGGCTTTACTGACAAGATGCGCGTTAAATATCGCATGCGATTTATCGTGCAGCCCTACT